AAATGCCTTACCATACAATAGATTTGTGTGAGGAACATACTGATATGCATGTTTTTATTTACTTAAAAATCTGCTATTGAGCCTTTTCCTGCAATGAGATCAGATCTTGAAATTGAGAAACAGGATAAGTCAGATTCATGGACAAAGCTGAATGGTTTTGTGAACTGAAAAATACATGTAATTACTAAAACAATTAGTTTCAAAAATATTAATATTAATAATTTTCAGTGAATAATGACTTAATTCTCAGCCTGTTTCTCACACAAAGCTATCTTATGGCCTGGAATATTGGGCACAGATCATATGGACTGCTTTTGTGATAACTTCAAATGTCTTGCCCCCAGTCAGTGTAATTGTATGTTACAGAGTGACCAGTACAGTCTTCAGAATTTCTCGATTTGTGTTCTACGCATCCAGGTTTGGAGTCATATACGAGCGAGTAAACAATGACAGAATTTTCAACTGTGCCTTTAAGTAAATAACCGCTATTAAAACACTAAAAACAATTTAATGCACAATTAAACATGAATACAAAATATTGCACATTGTGAATATAATACCTCAACATATAAACTTGGATGATCCATTGATATTAATGCTAACTGTATGCCCATCAGAAGAATGGCCATCCCTGCGGTTATGGCACTGAACACATTTATTCCAAGAGATGCTTTCACCTGCAGGAACAGAATGTACTAGTTTCAGACCACTAGGAGTATTTTTTAATACTCAAAGAACAGATCAGTGAAAAGGCTTGAAACTTACAATTACTTTTAAGTAGGGGAGACCTACTTTTAAAAAAAAAAGTATTGGGGGGTGGGTTGTATAACATCTTTTCCCATTTACTTCTACTGGACCAACAAAGTGGTTGTTATAATAATAATAATAATTCTGAAGTAAATTTGAAAGACTCTAATTGCATTTAAAGACTCTAATCTACATAGTGATATGTTGGAGATTTACATTTAAAACAGCTAATTTGGAGCAGACAAATAGGAAAACATATCAAAGTTAGACATACATTGGGCAAAACACTGGGTTACAGACGTTAAAGCAAACACTCTTACAACTATCCAAAGCCTTTCGTTTAGTTGATGCAAATGTAGTTGCAATCTTGATCACTGGTCCAGTTTTTTGGTCCTTTTACCAGCAGTAGCTTTACAAGCTACAATGAGACAACCAATCTTTGCTAATAGATGATATCATAACTTTTGCATTTATGACAGCTTGAGGTGATTTAAAGTGCACAGTTATAACTAATACTAGTGGGACAATACATTAAAAACAATGTGTTATAATGTGCCGAATCAGTCGGGGTTATGTACATACCACACATCGCTCCAATCATTATCTGGACAGTCTAGAGGGCACACATAGGTCAGGTAATTTATTCATGATGGCATAAAATGTGTGTTTGGATACAGTGATCTAGAAGAGATTAAATACTCAGAACATTCCCAAAACCATATTTTATAATTCATAATTAAATGCTTTACCCCCAGTGCCTTTGGTTGTGCTTTGAAAAATCCTTTAAGAGCCGTATTGTGATTTTTTCCTCCGGCCTCATGACCATCAACAAAAATAACAGTGTCTTGTATCACCTGTGGATTTACTTCGATGACAACTGTAGGTTTGTCAGTTGAGACGACCTTACTGCTTTCCATTCTTAGAAAGGTTTTGGATTTCTGTAATAAGCATGTTTATATTGTGCAAGTTCAATAAGAAATGTGAACAAAGGTCTTTGCATACAGGAGAAATTATGACTAGTTAAAGAGGACAAAAATATCTCTGTTAATCAGACACTGCAAAAATAAATAAAAACATGCATACATAGACAAATAACAACCTACTGAAGTACTAAATTCTATTTCATATCTTTGTAATAAACTGGCAACCAACAAAAACAGAGATGGTAATGAGAAAGCCACATGAGGAATCAAAGCTCATCAAAAGTAGATTTTCCACAAGCTGAGGTAAATATTAACAAATAGTAGGTGCACGACACCATCATGGTAGCACAGATGACACAAATAAAAAATGTGATAAACATTAATTTAACAACATGAGATGGAACATAAAATGTAAGAAGAACTAAGAGGAAATATAGTAATTTCAATGTAAAAACAGCAAATGTGAAGTGTCACAGGCAGTTCTGGGAATGTCAATTTATGGTCTTTCACTGTAAATTATAGAATTACTTGGTCATTTTCACTTGTTCATAAATTGAACAATATTTTACTATAAAATTACATTAAATGTCCTATTCGATTTATTACAGTTCATTGTATAGCATAAGGGAATTTACCCTTAACCAAATAATATTTTTTTACCATTTTTTTTTAGACTTTTACTGTTCCAAATGCACAAATTTTTTAGTGTTGCTAAATAGCTTTTTGACAAAGATACCTTTGTCCAGCCTAATGTTCTAACAAATCAAAAAACATTTAAAATGAGTTTTTAGCACCACACAATAAATGAGCAACAACTTACACTAAAAAGATATTTTGTACAAAAAAAAAAATTGTATATACAGTAAGCACACAATATAAAAAAGAACATTGATGTCAATTTATAAAATATCTTACCTGAAATGAGATTAGTTGATGTCTGGTAACTCTTTTTGTATCTTTGTGTGTTGACTCTGATCTGAAAGAACAGTTAAGGAGGGGCTTGCTTTTAGTAGAAACTTTCTGTTAATGGCCACCTTCGTCTTAAAACACAAAGCACTTTGGTGAAAGATAATGTTCAACACAGAATAACTGGCAACTGATGACAGATAATATTTGTTTCTCCTGGCTAAATAGAATGCATTATTAAAATATCTGCATATGCATTTTAAACAGGCCAATAATAATAATAATAATAATAATAATAATAATAATGATGATGATGATGATGATGTCTGGTTTGTTTTTGTAAAACTATTAAAGGGGTCATATGATGCGATTTCAATTTTTCCTTTCTCTTTGGAGTGTTACAACCTCTTGGTGCATAAAGAAGATCTGTAAAGTTGCAAAGACTAAAGTCTCAAATCCAAAGAGATATTCTTTATAAAAGTTAAGAGTCTACCTAAAAACGCCTACCTAAAACGGCTCGTTCTAACACGCCCCCACATGTCTACGTCACGATCTGGGAAGATTTGCATAACACCGCCCAAATGTTCACGCAAAGAAAGAAGGTGTAACTTTTATGCTGTAAATTTTTATGCTGTAGTATTGTTGTTGCCGCCGCCACCATGTCGTGAAGGCGCTGTGTTTCGTTGTGAAAGCGAAACTACTTTG